CCTTACAACGAACAATTTCATCGAGGACATATCGACCTACAGCATATGATAACGTGAGGAACCCTGATTGTTATCAGACCGACGCGCTGAAACATAAGAAAATAATGCAATCTTTTCAAGCCGAGTAAGAGAATCAAAACTTCTTCAAAAAATAGTGTCTCAATGGACGCAGTTCAGCAGCCTGTCTTTTTTTCTTTTGAAGTCTTTCTTTCTCTTAACGTTTTTCTTTCTCAGATCGGTTTTTTTTTAATTTGTAGCGATGTACAGAGAAGAAAAAGATTAGTAGTATGGTTAGAAACTTCAAAATGTCACAGTTAAAATAATGTCGCCACGTCACTCGACTTCGCGAGACTTTCTAATAAAAATGACTCGTTTTTCTCTGTGATACTTCTGACAAAAAGTGTGTTTCTCATTCATCCAGACGTGGGCTATCATGAGCCTTTGGAAAACACGTTGAACTGCGTCCATTAAACCTTTTGAAGAAGCTTTGATTCTCTCACCTGGCTTGAAAAGATTGTATTATTTTCTTATGATTTCCATTACGAAATTCTGGCAGCGGTTTCGCTTTTGAATAAGCTAAGGACCTAAAGGATAATAATTTCAAAATTTGATTGGGTAAAAATAAAATGCAGCGGAGAAACATGTGGTGGAACTATGATTTTGCGCCATAGGCAGAGCGGTATTTTCGAAAAAAAAAAAATAAAAAATTGTTGCTTTCTCAAACTGGAATTCTGTGTTGATATTCAGAACAGCGTTTATATGTGTCACAATTCTCCCTAGAGCCTTTTTCGAAAACATCTTCATATACAAGTTTTTGGGAAATTTGTAGGTGGAATTATATTGGGTTGAACCATAATTTCTGGCCGAATTTCAACACTTTGATTTCTTCAAGTTTTATCTTTCCTAAAGAACAATTGATCAAAAACATAACCACCATCATAATCACTGATATGCACCCATTTGCTAGGGAACGAATGGATGCATTCCTCCCAGAACGAGAGAAGCTGTGAGATGAAAAGCTCGAAGATTTTGGGGTGGTTGTATTTACTGACTTTTTCCTCTCCTAGCTGCTGCTTCAGGGAGCTGAGGAGGTGATAGTACGATGGAGCAACGTAAGGGCTATACGATAGATGTGGTGTCGTGGTCCAGCCAGTTTCCCTCGAAACGTGGCGAGTTATCTTTGCAATGTGATTTCGGGCGGTCCTTCGGAGAAAGGAGATTTTGAGACTTTCCACACTGCCGCGGCCCACTTTCAATGCTTGTCTGCATAAAGTGAACATGGTTCTTAAAACGGGATACCCAGCGAATCCAACACAACGGGAGTCACACTCTCTGATGGAACAGCTCGGGTTTTGGTTGATGTCCTGCGTTTAGGCTGCAAGGTGCCACCGAGCGACGTTTTGTGTTGTTATTTTAGGGACTCGTCTTCTGGTGACCAACCAGGGAATGTCTTGTCTATCGGTCGTAGAATGAAAATTCTGCAAATGGGCAAGCGTGCTTTTCCGTCATGGTCAGTCTGTTTCCCTCGAGGCTTCATTCTGCTACAGCCCATACCATTCAGGTGTCGACTCATGATCCGCACGGCGTGCGGGCCCAGAGTATTTGCTACAGCTTTCTGCTAATAGCGTCCGGATGCACTTCCTATTCGTAGCGCAAGCGGTCCTCATCGAAAGTGCGGGGGTCTGTGATTAGGGTCGAACACTGCAGCTCCTATTGCCTTTGCGAATACTATTGAGCCAATAGCTCGGTGCCCGATCACCAGCAAAGACTGGTGGCAAACGTAGCGCTGATCTTGCCTGTCGCACTCCTGCAAGGCTGTTCTCAAAATTGTCGCAAGGCAAAATCGTTGCGGGGCTTTGGTTTTTAATCTTATTTTTCATTCCTTCTAATTAATTCTAAAATGCGAACTCAAGCCTCTGAATCTTCCTGACTCAAAAACCTGAAGTGTTTTTCAACATACTAACTTATTTCATCATGAAGCTAATTTGACATGAAGAAAATTGAATCGAACCAAAATCGGCCAGAAATTATGGGTAACGCCCATTAATATTAGCCGTCGCTTGGCTTGCCCCCTTGCCGCCAAAGGCGCCACCATCGTCGAGAATAGATGTCATTGTCGCGTTTTGTGGCAATTTAGAGGCGCCAACATAAACTGCAAAATTTTGTCATCTCGGAGGATCGTACATTTTGTCAATTTATTCCCCTCTGTTTTGATATTGCGATAGGGGAATCCAGAAAAAATGGACCATGGTTCCGTGTTTATCCCATGATCATCTACACCTTTTAGGAAGTTGAGTGCTCTTATTGCACTTGAAAATGAACGTAAAGGCATGAAGTACAGGATGCGTCATAAATATGCCAAGGTAGCATTTATGGCGGCTACAACCACATGCCCGCAAAAAAGAGATAAAGTCATTAACTCACCGAGATTACTTCCTTGGCGGTTGAGAACGACAATAGGGTGTCCACAGACTGCGAGAAAAAGCACGTGCTGCCTAAAACATGATTTCCAAGCGCTTGCGTAAACCTTTGCAACTCGTGCGATACCTCGCCGTATGTCGAGTGTGTGTCTCTCACTATGTTTCACAGATGCCAACTGTTCAACGCTGTAACTAGGTAAGCAGTGCGACGAAAGGTGGTGCATCATGCGGTGCTTTTCCCCAAAATTTATAGAGCGTGAGGGATAGTTTAGATGCTCTCGTATTACTGCGGTGTGGCTTGTAAAATCACTGGCACCATTGCGGTCGTGCGAATGGATTCTGGGGGCTGGCTGGTCGTCGAAATCTGTGCGAACCTTGATAGAAGACAGGCGGCCTATTTCTGTGTCCCGACGAAAAGATTGATGCCGATTTTACGTGAAGGTCATATTCGCGAATCAGACGTGGCTGCGCTTCTTGCCCACGTGTAAATAACGCACCGAAAAGACCGGACAGTAAATGCAAAAAGGATTCCTTCAAAAAGCTCTAAGTGTTAAGTCCCTATACGGTGCAGCCGGGGCAAAGCAATGAGAGCATGTGTGCGGAGAGAAGAGATTATATGAGAGAGCGCACAGATGGGAAGGTGCTAGAAATTGGCTAGACGGGATAGTTGAAGCTGTTTAAGCGGTCTTTGCAAAATGCTGGCTCTCGGTAAACTGTTCTGAAAAAGCGCCTAATGGCCAGAAAGACTTTCCTGGCTATTCACTAGCTTGACGAAAACGGAGATAAATTGGAAGGAAAGGGCCCCCTACTTGGGATAGGCTGTGTTCATTCGTGTTCTTCTTCAGAACTGCATCGCCCACCACCTTCCCTCTCATTGTCAGATCCAACACGAAAAATTTTCTTCTACCATCCGCCTTCGCAATGAGACGATCTAGCGCGGGAGGTGCTCTTGTTGTCAAAAATAGCTACACGAAACAGCTTTCATTTACCGGGGAAGAGAGTGAGTATTGACGGCGATCTGTACCACCAACATCACCGTGTAGGCAATAACTAAACGAGTTCAGAAGGTGTGGCCAAGGATTTCTTGACGGTGCTCTCAAAGCGCGGCTTGGCATGAGAAAGTTCATACATTTCGTCAAGCGAGTGCCCCCAATTTCGTGACTTCTTGGGCGTTCCAGGCAAACGTGGGCTGACTAGGCTTAAAACCAGTTGTCGAGATGGCAAGTGATCGGCATGGACAGGATAAAGCAATTCATCTCAAATGGCGCATCAGAGACAAGTAGGGAACGCGGGCAGTCTGGACCTCCATAGTGCCGCACAAAATGTTTCAGTTCTGCTTAGACGTCAATCGGCCTTTCGCTATCGCGGCTCTTACAGCTAATAACAGAATTTGATTTTCGAGATACTTGGCTCGAGTACATTGTTCTCACAACACCAATCGACACTTTTTCCATAAAGTCACGCCTAAAACTCGTTCACGGAGATTTTCACGTTTGAGGGCGAATTTCACGATGTAAGACTCATGGGAAATTAAGATAGAGATGATCAGTGATGCACGAAAAAAAGAAGGGCCGAAAAAATGGTCCAGAACCCGAGAAATGGGACCCCTTCCTGCCCGTCCATTTGCGCATGCATGCGACTCTCATCAGCGCTGCCCTCTTCAACGCTAACGCTCTCTCTGCTGAACGGCCAGAGACTCAGACACAAGAATAGAGAGGGGCATAACAGTGCACCGGGAAGGACACGCTAGGTTGCCGGGGCGTATCCTCAATGCGATTTGTGTACCATTCCGCACGCTTAGGAGGACCGCCAGCCTCCAGTGGGTAAGTTTTCTCTTCTTCCACTTTTGTCCTTCTCGTGGAATCCTCCTTCAAATAATCAGGTTTCCGGGTGCGGGGGGGGGGAGGTAACCCCCCATTTTCATTAGTTTATTCGGCAGCTTGCTTTTTACTCTAGGTAGGGCGTTCATAATGCTAAAGTCTGAGCTGCTATAGTTGATCACAGACATTACAGAACAGAAGTTATCTTTGCTTGCCCTAGTATATGGCTCTTGATACAGTTACACAGGGCAAAGAGGTAGGATAGGTAATTGAGGAGATAGGGAAACTCAAAACACGCCATGTGAACAGCGTACAAGATGACTTCAAGGTTAGTAAGCAGTTCAATTGAACCCTCCCTTCTCGGGCGCAACAACCTACCCCATTTCGAACCCGGAATGTGTTCCAAGCTCAAGTAGAGTGATGCAAGAAATTGCTCTAAAAGTCCCCTTCGTGATGCATTCCGATGGGAAGCCACACCCATTTGGGAGAACGCTCTAATTTATTTTACTTAATGTCTATTAATGTTTTTATCTTTAGCAGAAAGAAATCTTTTTGAGGTTAAGAATCGGTCGTGCCGGAATTGTACTTCAGTGCGAGAACCTCAGAGCCGACCCCTCAAAAGCGTTGCCTGCCGATCGGAACAGAGTTGGTCGGTAGAAAAGGCCTTTCAAGTCTGAAACATCTCTAAAAACCAATTCCATGAAATTGTTCAGGTAAAGAAAAAATATAGCGAGAATAAGAAGATTTATTTCCACAGGAATTATACAAATTTATGGACAACGACAAACACAGAGGAGAGGTTAGAGATTGAAATGAGATGCAAATGAGACACGGGGAACGTGCGAATGTCGTCATGAGCCATAGCTATCAGCTGGCACCAGTTCAACGTTCCATCAGATTTCCGAGCCAGCTGATCCACCATGACTTGCACCATTAGCACTCCCTTAATTAGATAGATCATTGTTTGTAAAATTCACTGAGGTACGCTAAAAAGGGATATGCAATTTTCTCGTGGCTGTTTTTTGCCACTTTGGACCACGATTCAACCTCTATCTACATGTAGACTTGAAATCAGATTTCTGAAAAAAATATGGATACATTAGGGAAGACATGGCCCATTGGAACCATTGCGACGTAAAAATCTGGAAGTTTGGAAATCAACATCACAACGATGACAATCTGCTTGCTGTTATCAGATGGACGCAATGGACTAAACCAAACGGAGGCTAATATTTCATTTTATTTAATAAAATATATAATATAACTACTTTATTTATTTATTTATTTATTTATTTGAACGCTGCAGAAGGCAGTCGTGGGAAACAACAACAATGGCAACAACACATCAAGCTTTTCATATATACCCTAGCCATAACTCAACAATTCTTTCCTAGCTAGGCGCTTGAAAAGCACAAAAGTGGGAGTGACGAGTGCCACGTTTGGTTTAAGAGAAACAAATATAGAACCCGCACGACAGGTGAAGCAATTAAGCCTCACGTTAGTTCTTGGCGTTGCATACGAAATTTTCTCTAGCCCTTCTCTGGTTCTAGATCACCTTAACATAGAATTTGGATGCATCAACTGGAGGCCAGACGAGTTAGCATGGACCACCACCTCCTATGCTACCCTCATGCTAGTACATAGAGTGTCTCAGGCGTAGGAAATCAGAAACGGTTGTGACTCGGAAGTGCGAAGCGGAGCGCTAGAGTCTCGCCCTTCTGTGCTGACCATGTACCATCTTACCAATCGCGGCAGACGTGACGTCTACGCCCTCTCGCGTGCAACGTGCTCTGTCGCGTTTTCCCTCTCCTCGCGGTGGTGTGCCTCCCATCAAATCACGGCAGACCTCAGAAGGGAAATTTTATTGTTTTATGGTGCCTTTATTCTTCCCCATATTCTTTCCCATTTTTTTCTTCTTCGAACTTCTTTTCAACTTGCAACAGTTACACATCAAATCATTAACCCACTAGCTGCCTTACAAAGCATGCCCACAGGATCGCATTGGTGTAGCTGTTCCCAAATGACTACGAAGTATCTAGTGGCAAAATGGCCGGACATTAAAAGAAAATGAGGAAAGAATCCGATCAAAAATGCTATAGCGTTGACGTCAACTTCACTGTTTCCAAATCGAGATAGTGACGATAAAGTTAAATGAGAGACTAAGCGCGAAGAGGAGAGTATGAGGCGAGAGAGCGCTACAGATGGGAGAGTGCCAGACAACAGCCTGATAAGAGAAGAAAAACTCTGCAGCTTGAGCAGCTTGATTTGCAAGGCCCAAGAGCTGTTGTCGGTTGGTTTTCGTGCACGGAACGCCACATTTTGATTGTTCGAATAGGAGCGTCTGTAGTTCAAAACCGAAGAGGCGTTCACGCGAAACTCTGCCTGAGTTGTGCCTTTAAGCTTACGATAACCTCTGAACTTATCATGAATGAAAAAATAAAAATAAAAAAGTGAACACTGAATTTGCCCTTAAAAAATGAATCCAATATTAGTGGATGCCATTATTATCAAAGAGAAGAAGTGGCTAGCATCCAAGAACAATTCGAATGATTTTGTCGCAACACTGTTTTAGACGGTGAATGATCGTATGCGATGAAGCGACAAACACTAAACAAAAAGAACTGAAGAGGGAGCACCTGCTGCCAAGATACCATCGAGCAGATTGTTGCATTGCGGCCAACTGGGTAACCATAAGGCGGCTTGAGTAGCGGAGCCGAAGGGTTACTGGCAGGTGAGGGCCAAGCTACGGGAATTCTTCATATTCAGCATTTCAATAGATCTGTCTTCCTCGCAGGAGAAACAAGCCACATATAATTGGTCGCGGAGGCGTTGTTTTCTCCGGTGTAACTCGAATGTGGAATGGTTTGAAGGAAGTTAGGACACAAAAGCTTTGTATGCAAATGGACTGCTTTGATGGATGGTGGGGAATAGTATTGATAGGAAAGTACCACGAGCTGCTCGTCGATTATCTGGCTAAGAAAGTCGATCGTTCTCCACATGTTATAGGGGAATAGTATAGGTTATATCTCGGGACTGAGGAGTATATTTGCTGAGCGGCCCATGATTGCTAGAGAAAGAGCGGAAATCTTCCCTAGGAAAATGAATTTCTCCATTTCCTATATATTCGGCATCATTTGTAGCGTCGTATATTTGTTTATTAAAAAAGGATTTTTTTCGATGAGTGAGTATAGACGCATAACAGCGCGAGAATGGAAGCAGGAAAATGAGGAATTCCTCCTCAGTAGGGATCGAACCCCAAACCATTGCTCCCGCTTATTGATCTTCAGTTTTATGCTCTGCGCACGTGCCCTTATAATGTGACAAAATCGTTCGTGACGTCTGGAAGAAGAACTCCACGTCCCAAGACGCTTTCTTGGATGTGCTGAACTAGAAGTGTCGTCGGCACAATTATACCCCGTTTCAGAAAACGAGAAGCGCGTCTAGTGCAGACCATACACCACAAGTGACGACGGCCTCCACAAAATGTAAATGTTTTCTGCCAATGAAATGATTAGCCTGTTGCAGTTGTATTCTATCAGTTGTCACTAATTACAACTATCATTCAACTATCAGCTATCACTATGAACCACTAGTTACCAGATTTACTTGGAGGCCGTCGTCACTTGTGGTGTGTGGTCTGCACTCAACGAGCTTCTGAATTTCTGAAGCAGCGGGTAACAAATTGCTAATATTCGGCAGCCATTTGGTCTTGCAATGATTTGATACTGATTACTACTTATCAGTTGTAGTTACGCAAAATGTGTCAGTATCGAGCTGCCAGCGTTAGTGTAGAGCTCGAAGTCAAGGTGTATGGATGTACAAGAAACAGACTATCGGAGGAGCTAATTGATCGCTTGAGTAATTCACTTGGTCTGTCAGTTTTTCGACCTCTTCGCTTGTTCTTCTCTCAGCCACTCAGTCAGTAAATCAGCCAGTCAGCCACTGTTAGTCAGTGTGCGTCAAACCGCAAAAGTGAGAAATCATTTTGCATGCATGCAAGATCAATCCAACGTAATAGTAGTGCTTCTGATGGCACCGTCCTAGTGTTTGAGATATCGAATTAACGCAAATCCAGCTACTCGACGAAGTTGTCGCGCCGTAGGTGGGGGTGAGCAAATGTGGAGAACGTGTAGCGCCAGCACGCACAAAAGGAACGGTAGAACGGTGTTGAGGAAAAACTAGGTACACATAAAATACACATGAACAGCTTTGGAATAATCAAAGGATGCTTATTCACGAGAAAAGTGGTTGCACTTTGAAATTCCATTCTGCCAGGATTCCTTTCACCCTCAGAGAGTCCGTTGCATGATTTCATTCGTCGCTAGCCTTCTGATGCTTAAAATAGCGGTCAGCAATACCGTGAGGCTAGCCACTGGCAGATCTTTCCAATACCTTGTTCGCTAGCCCATCGCGTGGTTTGAACGATGCAGCGAACGATGCGTCGACTGTTAAAAGTATACACCAGCGATTTGACAGCGATTGAAAGAGCGGCTGCCATTGTCGGCCGCACATTGCTCCTGCTACTTTCCAGGGGTCAGGAAAGCATAAAATGCTGGGAAAGGGACGAGAGTCACTGAACAAGACGACTTACCAGGAAGGTCTTTCAGGGCGTGACAAGCTTTTTGAAAACGGTCTTTTGCATGATATAGGGGCAGATGCGGGGACCACAGAACCATGTTTAATTTTTCCTGAACGGCCCTCTGAATACCAGAAAAGGGGTCCCTAGTTCGATTCCTCTTGGTGACAAATTTTTGCATTTCGAGTTGACGTTCCAAAATTCGCGCAAAATGGAGTTCTGATTGTTCTGGTTGGTTCTAACTCCATTTTGCGCGAATTTTGGCACGTCAACTCGAAATGCAAAAATTTGTTACCACGAGGAATCGAACTAGGGACCTCCTTTTCTGGTATTCAGAGGGCCGTTCAGGAAAAATTGAACATGGTTCTGTGGTTCCCGCATCTGCCCCTATATCATGCAAAAGACCGTTTTCAAAAAGCTTCACGCCCTGAAAGACCTTCCTGGTTAGCCGCTTTCAAGCACTGTCGAGACGCTGCCGCATCGTTTGAGCCTTTGGGACATCGCTCGCCCTGCTGGTGCATCTTTCGAACAGCTGGTGCGTAGTTCGAACCGTTCGTGTATCGCTCGGATCCCGCGATTGGCTTGCGAATCCACGGATTGGGAAAGTTGGCAATCGCCTAACACCAAGTTGTCTTCCGTGAGTGGCAAAAGCACGCTATTCATCGTGAATGATCATGGTGATTCATTCCATATTTCTTGAAAAGATATCTTTAATGTAACGCTTATTCCAGTCTCTCACATAATTTTCAGAAACTGAGCGTACATTATGATTTAAAACAGCACTTGTAATGCTATGAAAACAAAGCGTTAATAGTAAATATTAACTTGAATTAGCGTGTGATTTAGCTCGTTCCATATCGTCCTGATTTCTGACACGGGATGACCGTATCCGCAGAAGTGATCGGAAGGCGAAGGCTAACAAGCAAAACAAGGCCAAAGCGACGAAGATAGCCACAGCAAGGAGCCAGTTGTTTGTATCTTCAAAATGTGAAATTATTCATATTAAAAGAGAAAAGTTATCATTTCACTCACCAGAAACATGGCTATCTGGTTCAACAGGGAATTCACTATCAAGAGTTAAGTTAGAGAACGTTGTTCCAGTAACAGACTCCATCAAAGCAGTGTGTTAGGAACAGTCTGAAGTGGGAAAAGATTTTATTTACAGCTGCAAGTGTTAACAAAAATTAGAAAATAAACGGGAAATAAACAAGTAAACAGCAAATATATCGATAAAAAAATACGTGGGTTGAGGATATCCTTCTATTTTATAAAGCGCTAACT